TTAGTACTGATTAATATCTAGTGATGATCAAGCATCACTGGTTTTTTGTTTTATTTTTGGTTCTTTGGATCAGTTTCTTCTCAGTCTAATGGTCTGACAGTTTAACTGATAATGATTTAACACCACTAATAATGATAATAATACCTATTTGTTGGGCCCAAAAAATTGTCCATTGCCAAGTTTTCTGAAAGTCTGGGACCTCTGTAATATATTCACAGAATTAATTTTCTATCTGTTGAAATTAATTTCCTCCTCGTTAGCTTGTTTGCTGTTTTCAGCTATTTAAATATGTTGTCCTGTTAAATGAATATTTTTGTTTGGGGGAAAGAAGAAGAAATGCACCTTTTTGCTGCTGAATTCTTTACAGCCTCTTCTTCATGTCTGTCCTTTTTATCTTTAGGGATAAATTATGGGGATCCTGTATTTCAGTATTGGCTGTTCTGCCCCGAGTACTGAGACTGATGCTCCAGAATCTGCAGATCAATAAAACATGTCAGGAAGAGTTGCCAGTTGTTGCTCAGCTGATTCGCTTGCTGTTGCAACAGGCACCACTGAGGGTGCACATGATGACAAATGCCCTTCTGGTGCAGCAGATTGTCAAGGATATCAATGTTATGGTAAGAAGTTTTTTCACACATCATTTCTTGGGTTTTAGCATTAAGATGCTAATAATGTAGCCTGAGCAGGGTCCTGACTAGCTTCAACAGACATTTTAGATAACCATCTTGCTGTGGCCAGGGTCGGGAGTAGATTGTACCTTTGTGCTAACTAGCGCAGGATTCGTTACCTTTGTCACCTGGTTCAAGCAGCATTCAGAATTCTGGGTGTTAGAATGTGTGATATCTCATACCAAGGGCCCAGATGTTAAGGCTATGAAGCTGTGTAGGACTTTGGTGAGAAACTGTGTTATTGCTCAAGCAAGTTCTACTACATTTGATTTTGTGGACAGTGGTATTTGAGATCATAGGATCCTAGTAGATCTAGCTGGAAGAAAACTCAGAAGCTATCTACCTCAGTGGCCTCAAATTTTTGATCACTGCGGCCCCCCCCCATGTGAATATTTACTTACCTACAAATTATATGCATGTACTATTGTACTAAAAGTTATGTACATAATAAAACTTACACAATAGTAGGCACTTTAAAAAGATGAGATGAAATAATGTTTTATCCTAAAGGGGAGGTAGAGGAGTTTACTGCTTTAAGAAATCAATTTGGAAGCTGTGTGGAGGATGGATTGGAGTGGGGAGAGACCAGTAAGTAAGCTATTTCAGAAGTCTCAGCAAGAGCTGATAGTCTGAACCAAAAGTGCTCTGGTGACTGAGGCAGCTAGACTCAACACCAACATTTGAGGGCATAGAAGAGGGTAGATGGGAGATGTGGATGTAAAAAAAGAAGATTTGGCAATCACTGGATATATAGTATTGGAGACAAACCCCATTTCCCTTTTACAGTATACCGTGCTAGCTTCCATTAACAGCTACTTCTTGGAGATAAGTAATTCCAATTGAATTGTTATTGAAAGAATTTTTTATTCTCTGTAACTCCATGCTGGAGTATGTTATTTTTAAATGGAAGTCATACTTCTTTTGTTCCAAAAATGGGAAAATTATCATGGCTGTTAAAGTAGGTAGGTTCTTTTTCAATGTTCAGAATCTTAGAGGACATTTTGCCCAGCCTGCAATGTCTGTTGTCTTATAAGTTACTAGGAAGGGTGTGTGCGTGGTGCCCTCACTATGCTGATAATTGTGTAAGATGATGGAGGAAGGGTAGAGAAAATGCCCTCTTTTTAAACTCTTTTTGCCGGTAGAGTAGAAAGAACATTGAATTAATGGTCAGAAAGACCTTAGTTCAGTGCCTGTGGTTATTAGATATGTAACTGGACAAGTCACTTAACTTTCTGGCCCTTACTTTGTCAGTTGACTTCTCTGCAAAATAGGGAACACCTGTGGGACTTAACCTCCTGGGAGAAATAATTTGCAGGCCTTAAAGCCCATTACAAGTCTTGTTGCTCTTTTCACTGAAGGGACCTGAATTGTAGGACTAGATTTCTCTTTCAGGCATCACCCACACACACTCTTATTTAGCCTTGGCTGCCTTTAATCTGAACATTTTAGCTTTTCACCCTTTCCTTTTCAAACTGAACTGTGGCATTTGGCACTTTTAACTTTTGTTGTGTCCTATCCTAGAAGCCTGTAGCCTTCTCAATCATATTTTTAAAATGCATTAAATAAAAACATATAGTATTATTAAAGAAGCCAATTCATGTGTGTGTATGTATGTATTTATTTGTTTGTTTTCTTATTTGTTTATTTAAAACAAGCTCCCCCTGATGAAGAACTCTTGTCCTTGAGGGACCCTAGAGCCTGCTGTAGGATTTCTCTTTTTTTCTCCTCAAGGAGTCCTTTCCATTCCTAAATTTTAATTCTCCCTTTAGGTTGTTGATGTCTTCTTTTTTTCCCTCCTGTTTGTGAGTACTTTTCTATTAGTACTTCTCTGAGACCATCCCTCCTGTAAGCCGGAACATATCTTCTATTTGCTAGCATGTCAGAATACTACCCCTAACCCAGTGTACCTCATTCCTTCATAACGTCTGGGGCTGCTAGGATTATTACTCTCAGAGGTAATTTGTTTGAAACAGAAAATGTGAAGTCATCTAGTTTATATTTTGCTCGTTGATAGAAGCAAAACAAGATTTGAATATTTTCTCTTTTCACTGTTTTCTGTTGCTCCATTTGCCCCAAGTAGTTTGCTTATCTTTGCCTTGGTTTTGTTCTTGCTTTGAACAAAACACCAAATGGCTCTTTAAGGAATTAACTCTGTATGATTCATAATGTTGCCAAAGGAGGAGTACATAGAGTGCAGCAGGCCATTTTCTTTCTTTTTTAATTAATAAGTTTTATTTTTTCTCTCCCAACCCCATTGAAAAAAAGAACCCCTGTAACAAACATGCATATAGTTATGCACAGGCAGTCTGCATCTTGAATCTGACACTGTTCTTTCAGGAGGTGGCTTTGTCACTGGTCCCCTGGATTCATTGCATTGATTCGAATCCTTCAGTTGTTCACAGTTGGCTTTTTAATAATACTGTTATTATATAAATTGTTCTCCAAGTCAGTTTACACAAGTGCTGCCAAGTCTCATTGGAGCTGTCTTCTTTGTGGTTTCTTACCATAGAGTAGTATTTCATTGATTGTTAAGCCATGCCCCAATTCCTGGATGCCCTCCCTCTTTTTCAGTTCTTCACCACTTACGGAAGAGCTCTTTTATATAAACATATTTGTACATATAGGTCCTTTCCCCTTTATAATCCCTTTGAGGTGAAGGTTTAAGTAGATGTACATTGTGTATAAAGTAGTGTCTCAGTTGGCTATCCCTGATTAACACTTAGAACCTTGAGTGGCTCACAGTAATCTTTTCTTATTGATATTTTTAACTTTTATGTAACTTGCTTTTGCCACAGTATCACTGTCTTCCTCTCTCAGAGAATCAGCCTTTATCACAAAGAATTTAAAAAGGGGGGGGGAACAGCTCATTCAGCAAGATCTCCAACACATAACCCAAATCTGACTTGCAGTTTTCAGTGCTTCTATTCAGAGAAGGGAATATGAGGAAAGGAGGTTTACTTGCTTATCTGTTTTTTTAATAACATGACTTTCACTGGCTATTTTTCCAACTAAGGGCTCTTGAAAATTATTATGTCTCTACCTTTGAAGAAAGATGTTATTGTTTTTATGAATCCAGCCTACCCCCACCTCCCTGTCAGGATTATTATGGTATGTGTTCATACTGGAAAAATTAAAGTCAAATGGGCTTTTATCTCTATTAGTAGGCAAACAATATAAAGCTTAGTGACATCACTAGGAGCACCCTAAGTCAAGTATTGCCAAAATTACTTTAATCATACTTGCAGTTTGAAATACTTCCAAGAGGCAGCATAGTATAGTGAATAGAGAGCTGGTCTCAGAACTAGGAAAAGGGTTACCAAGTCTTACCTCCAACTCTTACTAGCTGAAGACAAGGTATTCACTGTTGTCTGGGCTCATGGTCAAATTTTGCTTCATTAGAAATCCTTCAGAAGGATCAGGACACCTGCCTTCCTCCTTAAATCATAGGCTAGAACTGAGGGGGCTGGGGATGGAGAAAAGCCTTTTAATATACCAAGCAGCATTCATTTGGGGACAAGGTGCTAGAAAAAAAATGGCATTGGAGCTAAGTATGGGTAGAGTTTTTCAAGGCTGAAGAAACTACATAAAGCATCTCCATAATTTGTTTAAATAGTGTAACCCTTCCTCTTAGAATTTGCTAAGAACTGGGGGGTTGGGGAAATCATTTATACAAGATGGCTGTCTTCTACTGAAAATACATTATAAAATGTTAACTAAACCCATAAGTCAGATTTAGTTGTGTATAATATTATTTCTTCTTTGTAATTTATTTAATTTAATGAATAGTTAATGTGTAAACCATTGTTGTGGTGATCCCAAGGAATAACACTTGGCCTTGTGGAGCTTACAGTCAAGTTAGAAATGTTGGCTAGGTCTGTTGGGACTTTCTCTAGCAGGAGGCCATATTGGGGGAAAACGGGCATAAATATTGTTAAATAAAGACACATGGCAGATACAACACAAAACAAAACCTGTTTCTGCCAAGACTTGGAGCAGAGGATACTGATTGCTTTTTTTTTTTCCCCTCCCCTGCAGACAGTGAAGAGTGGAGGAACTCAGGAGCAGTGGCTTACAGACCTTCATTATTGCTTCAACATTTACCTGGCCAGCCGTCCCCAAACCACTGGGGCAGTTAGCATAGTCTGTTGAAGAGACACAATTTTAAACTGTTTACTTCTGTATTATTTTGAAAAAAAACAAACGTTGGAACAATATTTGTCAATAAAGCTGAACTTTAAAGAAAGCTGCATGTGTGTTCCTTTCCTCTACTGTGACAGTGAAGTGGAAGCATATATAATACTGTTGTTACAAATGACAGTAATCAGTAGTAGATATTTTGATCATTGAGTATTTATAAAAAATAATCTTATCAAAGGGTGATATTGATTATGTATAATAGAGAAAGGAACAAAAGCAGGACAATTTCAAGTCCATTTGTTCTTTTTTTCTTTCAGTATACAATGAAGCTTCCCACTTCATTAGTCAGTCACCGTGATTCTTTTTCAATGTGTGATGTTAAAATGAGATATATGTTCCAAACATTTGCTGTGACAAAACCCTGATAATGGGTTTCATATTATTTTTCTGTCCCATAACATTCTCTTATTCCTTTAGGGTAGAGTGTCTTACCACTGTATAGCCATCTATCTGTAACACCGGCTGTCTCACAGTTAATCTAGATGATCTAGACTGTTGAGATTTATACATTCAGAGAAGAGTTTTCTTCTAGCCATCTGTGGTTGGTAAAATGTTTTATAGCTCATACTGTGGTTAATGTTTCACAATTACTCAATGGGAAATGCAACAAGTAGTAAAATTCACTAGCACTTCCCTTTTCCTTCTTGTGGAAAATTCCCAATTAAAAGTAGTCATCTCAAAAAACAAAAAAGAATTCTGTGCTCTCATTCATCAATCATTTGTATCTGACCAAATAGTTCCCCTAGGAAAAACTACTGGATACAGTTCAGAATTGGAGGGATTGTGTGAGTAGCCAGTACTGATAAACATTTCCAGTACAAATTTGGAACGGATTTGAATGATTCATCTTTTCTCCTCTCCCCGGTTCAAGACAGAGAAAACAAGCGTGCACCAACTTATGAGTTAAGGACACAGTTTCTCTTGCTTAACCCATTCCCTATTGGGAATGTTCACCAGTGAACACTGGAGATGAGGTCACTGGAATAGGGTAGCAGCCTAGAGATGAGCATTTCAAATATATGGCTTGTATTCATTTTTAATGATGAAGGGTCTGTACTTCATGGTCTATATCCAGTTTACTCCTTGTTTTGCTAATCACCATCCTTCCCTGACATTTTAATAAATAGCCCCAAATTGACATAGACTGCGAATAAATACTATCATCTGCATGGTCTTTCCAAGAAATGGTATAGGCTTAACAATCCTAGTAACAACTAGGTGATGGTGAGAACATTTATAAAATAGACTGTAATAAAGACTATTCCAGCTTAGACCTCATAAACAAGAAAACTTACTTGGAAGTAGGTTGTGAACTTCTGTAAACATTGCCCCATTTCATGGCTAGATTTTTTTAAAGTGATGAAATGTAAAAGTTGATAATTTTGCTAACAGAACCAACTGTTTTAGCTGTCCCATCTCTCGTGAAGACAATTCTTTAGTGACTGGATTTTTGATTTCTTGTTTTCACCTCAGTGGCTGGTCTCATGTTGTAAGAGAAGTTCTTTGATTTTCCATTATTCTCAAGCAAGTGTACATACTGCAGGTTGCTTACTGTTAAAACAAAAGCCAAAATAGATATTCCATATCATTAGCTTTAGTTAAAAAATAAATTCCTTAGGGTTGATAGCCTTCCTTAAATTTTCTGACTGGTGTGACCTATGGTTTGATGATAAAAAGTCTTAATTGATTAAAAACCCTGGGAAAGCAGAGGCTAAGTCTTTATAATCTAAACTTCACTGTTGTAGAAGGGTGATTGACTTTACCCCAGCCTGATGGGGCTGCTTTCGGACAGCAGAAGATGCCTACCTAGATGGGCTATTTTTAAGCCTGTGTACTCAGTGATTGTATATCAGGGAAAGGGAGGAGGAGGAGGTGTCAATTATCTGGAGTTACCTGGAAAAGTGTTCTTAGTTCAGGAAAGTGAGATTCTTCCAGGAGGAGTATTTAGAAAAGAGATGAGGACTGAGCCTTGGAAGTTTCCTCAGGCTTTTAGGGGGCCTGGAAGCATACGAACCATTTTAGGGATCGCTAAGATCATTCAGGGCAAAGAAAAGACAAGGGTTAGGATGTCTCCTGAAATATGATGCCAGTTTCTACTATATTTGCCAGTTCCTCATCCTCTTATTCCCTGGAAGAGAGCTACCAATGCAGTCTTTAGAAATTTCTTTTTTTTTTTTGGTTAGGCAGTGGGGTTAAATGACCTGCCCAGGGTCACACAGCTGGTAAGTGTTATGTGTCTAAGTCCAGATTTGAACTCACGTCCTCCTGACTTCAGGGCCCATGCTCTGTCCACTGTGCCACCTAGCTGGCCCTATCTTTAGAAATTTCACACCAGGTTTCTTGAAGTTGGGGGTGGGGGAAAGGATGATGAGTATAAATTTTCAGAGATTATGATAAGGAAAGGATCTAATAATTGCTATGTGCATTTTCTTGAATGTATACTTTAAAAACCAGAAATAGCGATAAAAGTAAGGAACATTTTAAACATGCAACATAAATAGGATTGTAGGTAATCACTTGATTAAATTAAGGTGGGTCACTTTATCAATGACTTTATCAAATTATTTGCACTTGAGTATCTTTATCCCTAGATATAGACATAGCATACACAAACATGCTCATATGGTATGCATGTGCTATGGTTATAAAATCAGACTGATGTTCATGTGTGGTGCAGATAAATCAGTTACACTTTTAGATACAATTTACAGAAGTGTATGGGCAGCTAGGTGGCACAGTGGATAGAATGCTGGGTTTGGAGTCTGGAAGACTCTTCCTGAGTTCAAATCTGGCTTCAGACACTTAACTAGCTGTGTGACCCTGGGCAAGTCACTGTTTGCCTCCATTTCCTCATCTATAAAATGAGCTTGAGAAGGAAATGGCAAACCACTCTAGTATCTCTGCCAAGAAAATATCAAATAAGCTCACAAAGAGTCAGATACAACTGAAATGACTGAACAGCAACAAACATGTTTATGTGTGTGAATATACATACATACACATATATGTATGCTAAATATATATGCTTAAATTTAGCTAATCTTGATAAAGTTCAAGAACCTGATCAGCATTTAATGAAAAAAAATGCATTTTGTGTTAATGCCTTAGTTGGGAATAGGAAAAGAAATCATTTCTTTTTATTTCAATTAATAACCACTTAAAAAAAATGAATGATAACATTAACCCATTTTGGGCTTTGTCAGGACTATACATGACCAGAGATTTACCTGGCATACATACAATATGCTATTTATTTTAGTAAAATTTAATATACTTTCCTAATCTTTTGTTTTCCTGGAAAAAAAAAACAGAACTTGCCAGCTTATATTTTAACATATGTATAGCATTATTTTTATTTATTTAAAAAAAGTGTTATTGGACAAACGTTGTAAGATAAGGAATAAGACTAAGCGACCTAAATCATAGTTTCTTGATACCACATATGACTACACAAATAGATTTTATTTTTACTGATCCTTGCTAGCTGCATTTGGAGAGGCATGGTAGAGTGTATGGATAGTCTTCAAGTCTTGCTTCTGACCTGTACAAGTTGTGTGTCCAGGAATCAATCAGTTAACCTCTCAGTGCATCAGGCAGTTCTCTAAGACTAGAAAACTATAAGTTAGAGATGAGTTGCTCGATGGCCCAGATGCCTTCTCCCTTCTCCAAATTTTCTTTCCAGGATTTTGAAGTTCTATCATTTAAAAACAAACTTTTCATGCCATAATGACAAATTAACACCGCAAAAGTAAATTCTTACATAGACACTCTTCAATAGGTTATAACCTGTTTCCAGTCTTGTACTGGAAGATTGACAAGGATTCCCGAAACCAGCATAGAAGTATAACTGATCAAGTTAAACCATCTTGATCTCTCTATCTTGGGGAAGACCGTCACTCATCTCTCTCCACCCCTTATCTTTTTTAAAAAATGAAACTAAATTAATGTTAGTGCTGGCAGTCACTTGTCACCTTCCAAGATAGGATTTGCTTACACAGAATAAGAAAATCTAGTGTAGGGAGAATGTTACCATAGATACTTATGGTTGGAGGCATTCACTGGACCTGGCATTTGCCACTGACGGCACTGAACTTATCAAACAAAAACACACTGTCTCAAAGATGAAGTTAAAGTTTTCTGAACTCTTATTAATTAGATAAATGAAAATGGGTATTCTAAAAACAAACAAACAAACAAACTGGGAAGGCTTCCTAACGCTGTCCAGGAAAGCTAAACACAGCTTCTCTTCTGCTGTGAAGACTCAAGATGGCCACAACCATATACAGGAAAAGGAAAAAAATCTCAAACTTTATAGCTTAGACGCTCCAATTATTCAGCTTCTATTGCTTTATGGGGGTAACAAAATATAAAAAACATTTACATTTGAAACTATTTTATCTACCTTCTTTAATGTACTTAGTTTTAGAATACTGTCAACGTACAAATAACCATGGCAATTTATCACTTGCCTCCTTTTGTGTCTTATTGTCCTGTGTCTCTACTTAACAGAGTATCTGTGAATATATTTTCCTCTTACGGTTTTTGTTTGTAGAGGCACCATGGTATCAGAGTGGAGTGCTAGGCTAGGAGTCAGGAAGATGACATAATTATAATTACATTCCTCACTGAAAGTGTTCATATTTGTAGGAGAATGGGCTCAAGAGCTTTTAGGGAAATGTTCTGTTGTTACTTTCATTGGTGTGTGTTTGTTGTTAGATTGTTTCAGTTGTCTAATTCTTCATGACCCCATTTGGTGTTTTCTTGGCAAAGATACTGGAGTGGTTTGCCATTTTTTTCCTCCAGTTCATTTTACAGATGAGGAAACTGAGGCAAACAAGGTTAAATGATTTGCCCAGAGCTAGTAAGTGTCTGAGGCCAGATTTGAACTCTCTAAGATGAGTCTTCCTAATTCAAGCCTGGTACTCTATCTACTGTGCTAGCTAGCTGCTCTGTTACTTTCATTACTAGTTGTTCAAATTTAGCAAAGTATGACCTTTACTGAATAGTAAACAGATCAGTGGGGGCTCAGCAACTATGATTTGTAAAGGATTCTGACCTACAAAGTGCCTAGAACCAAGAGTAGCTTTCTGGGGGCCCGTGGGTAAGGGAGTGATGGGCCTGGGCATTACATTTGTATACCTTCTATTTGTCATTCTTAATTGCATTACGGTATTTTCTTACATTACTGTTCCACACTTTATCAAGCCATTTCTCAATTCATTTTAATTCAACAAACATTAAGTACCAATTCTATGAAGTTAAAAAGTTAAGTTACTTTCAGATTTTTTTTTAATTGCAAATAATGGCAATATAAATATTTTTAAAGCTATGTCACTATTCTGAAAAACTTAAAATGAAAATTGCTGTCCACCTCCAGAGGAAGAACTGATGGAGTCTGAGTGCAGATTGAAGAATAATATTTTTACATTATTTTTCTTGGTCTTTTTTTTTTTTGGTCTGTTTTCTTTTGCAACATGGTGAATATGGAAATATTTTTTACATGACTTCACAAGTATGATGTGTATCAAATTGCTTGCTTTCTCAAGGTATGGAGGGGAGGGAGGGAAAAAGAATTTGGAACTTAAAAATTTTCTAAAACGAATGGTAAAAAGTTTTCTTACATGTAATTGAGAAAAATAAAAAATAGGTCATTAGTGAAAGCTCTGTTATATGATTTAATTGGTGTGAGAACTCCTACCAATATATAGACCCATCGATGACTTAGTAGAAAGTCCTAGGGAGTTCTCTGTAAATTATAGTCTTAGGGAGTCACCTGAGTGCCTATGGTCACTTACCTAGTAAGGCTCAGTGGAAGGATTTGGATCTAGGCCTTCTTGACTCCAAATCCAACATTATGGGGCAGGTAGGAGCATGGTGGATAAAGCCTTGGATCTGGAGTCAGGAAGACCCGAGTTAAAATCCAGCCTCAGATACTAGTTGTATGACACTGGACAAGTCACTTAATCTCAGTGTGCTTCCGTTTCCTCAGCTGTAAATTGGGGATAATAAGAACACCTACATCCCATGGTTGTTTGTGAGGATCAAATGAGATGATATTTGCAAAGCACTTAGCACAGTGCCTGGCACATACTTTGCACTATATAAATGTGAACGATTATCCACTGTGCTATCCTGCTCCTCTCTCAAACGTAAGACTTTTTAAAAAGTTCCTTAATAATGTTTTTATGGTATCTTCCCAACAACAGAATTGTTAGGTCTAAGAGTATGATCATTTTGCTATCCACCACTTCTAAATTCCATCAGCAACACATACATATCTCTTCATAACCCTAACGTTGAGTATTTTCATTTTTGTACACTTTTACCAATTTGATGAATAAAACAATTTATTTTCAACGGTAATGCAAGAGGGCATTGGAGAGTGAGTGTAAGCAAGGTTGCAGCACATAACAAATTACTACAAAGAAAAATGGTGGCTGTTACCAAAGAAAGGTCTAACCAAAAAAGAAAAAGGGCTGATCAACTGGTGAGAGTCAGTCAATGAATATTTATTACATAACCACCATGTGCCAGGCATTGTGCTAATGCAAGGGATATAAATACAAATAAAAACAAAGGCAGTCTGCCCTCAAAGAGTTTACAATCAGATGGGGTGAGAGTAAGAGATTACACCTTTGGACTACCCACATGCTGGCACCAGCATCCTCATGATGTCAAGAGTAAGCAGGGGAGGCCCCTAGTACACTGCATGGGTCCCTAGTGACAAACTTATGGAACACAGGCAAGAATCACAGAATGGGAAAACATCAGTGAAGAAAACATCCGCACGGAGGAGATCACAAACCCACTGGAGTATGTGCACAAGGCAGGTTCTTTGCATGGTACACATCTGCATGTCAGCCGTGATTCTTGCCTTGTTTGCTGCTTGCATTGATGGTGGAAGCCTCCACAGTCATGAAATTAGTACCGAGTCATAAAACCATATAGACTGTGGTATGTATGTTGGGTAATTCTGTGTGTTTTTCTGTTGCATAGTGCCTCCTTATAGAAAGATAAAAATAACTAGAAATTGAGAGGTAGCATGATACAATATATCAGGGCACTAAACAGACTCAGAAAGACCTGGGTTGTCATCCTACCTTATACACGTACTAGCTGAGTGACCCTGGGAAAATCATTTGATCTGTCTATTCCTCAGTTTCTTCATCTGCTATATGATCACAAATGCCCCTTCTAGCTCTATGATCTTATGATTTTTAGTATACTACCTGAGAAAGAAAGCCAGAAATATTACACATAATTGTATCTGTTGATGATGGGGAAAGGGCCAGGCTAGAGTGTGCTTAAAGCCTGGGGATGACTAAGAAGGTTTGAGACTTTAGATGAAAGCTTTTGTTAGCTCTTACCCCTAAAAGGTACGGTTTTGTGCCCTTATAAATTAAATTTTAAGAATTCATTTTCTTTTTCTGTCCCAGTAGCTCAGTAAATTGAAAACAATTTGCCTCTAACTTTAGAGGCTAATGCTAACTGTAGTATTAGGAACCATAGTTTGCTTGTAAAATGACTAATAATCCCATTTCTAAATTATAATTCTATGAAAAGCTTTTTCAAAAGTTGACAAAAATACACACTTGAAATCAAGAAGCCATTTAAAAAATTAAAAACCTTCTAAAATCCTACTCTGATAACATATCATGGCTTAGAGGTGATCCAACATTCTCAAAGGCCATTTCAGTGGAATGTAAGCCCCAGAGGGGCCTGTGTTAGAACATGGTCAAGGGGAACTGCATGATAAGAAGTGCCAGATTTGGAGTCAAAGGACCTGGGTTTGAATCCTAGCTCTGCTACTTTTTACCTCTGGACAGTCATCTAGCCTATCTGGGCCTTTTATTTCTTTATAGTGAGTAGGCTGGCCTAGCCTTAAGTAGAAATGGATCCCTGCAGGCTGCATATTGACTTAGAAAACCACAAATTAACATTATCAGTGTTGTGTTATATTTTCATTTTGTTAAATTACATTTTAATCTGCTTCTGGCCCAGGGGAATTTTGCTAGTGGCTTGCCCCCAGCTCCACTTGACACCTCCAGGCCATCATATAATTTTTAGGTTTCTTCCAATTATTAAGTCCTACAAACTTATAGTGGGGGCTAAGGATAGTTTTTTGTCTAGCTAAGTTTGGGAATGAGGATCATGTGATTTTTTTTTTTTGGCCATAGCCACTGACAAAGACTACCCAGTATATTGGGGGCCTCCCCTGCTTTCTTTTGACATCATGAGGATGCTGGTTAGGCACATGAACCAACCAAAGATGTTATCCCCCATTAGACAGCACACTCCTTGAGGGCAGGGACTGTCTGTTTTTAATCTGTATTTGCATCCCCAGCACATGGTGAGTGCTTGACTGACTAACTCTCACTGAGGGGTAAGAGGCTGCATCTGTGATGGTTAAAGGAGTGCCCATGATGATCAAAATCACAGATACCTGAAATGTGGAAATGAAGAACTGAAAACTCAGGGTATACACAGAATTAACTATCATTAACACATTCCCAGCAATCCTCACTCATGCTTATTCCTCTAGTACCTGGTGGTTATGCAAATGAGGAACAGATGAGCTCATGGAACAGTCCCTACAGACAGACAGATGACTAGTGACTGCCTGTCCACAGGGCTCTGACTTACCTGAAATTAGGTGCATTGCAGAGAGAGGAGGCTTTGATGAAGGTCTTATGGCATGATGTACTTTCCCTTCCTGAGAGCATCCTAGGAGGAGACAACAGTTATCAACCAATCAGTAAGAGGCTCATATGGCTCCATTTGAACCCCAATTCTCATTGAAAGTCCTAACTTACAGATACCCGAATAAACACAAAGTTCATCCTGTGTGTATATTTATGGGGAGGTGGTATTATATGGACCAATGGGATACCGTGATTAGGATTCTACTAGAGGCTTTGTTTCAGAATGTCTTTGTTTTGTTGGCAAGAGTTATTTGGGGAAAAAAAGTCATTTTATCACAGTATTATAGATTTAGAGCAGGAAGGGGCCTTTGAGATCATCAATTCCAATATCCTTATTTTACAGGTGAGGAAACTGAGGCTAAGAAGAGGGTGACTTGCTCAGGATCACCTAGCTAGTATATATCTGAGGCAGGATTCCTGATTCTAAATCCAGAGCTATGTCTGTTTTGCCACCTAGACTTGAAGTCAGAAAATGTGTTTAAGTTCCATTTCCAATATTCTCCAGCTGTGTGACCCTGGGCAAGTCACTTCTCTGTGAGCCTCTTCTTCCTCATCTGCAAAATGGAGATTTGTATCAACTCCTTCATAGATGGTAAACCTTAGCATGATATCTATCTATCTATCTATCTATCTATCTATCTATCTATCTATCTATCTATCTATCTATCTATCTATCTATATCTCATAGACGGTAAACCTTACACACACACACACACACATATGGGTTGGTATTGTCATTCTATTTCTTAATAATAATGATGGTAGCATTTATATAGAGCTTTACAAATATCTCATTTTAACCTCACAACAATCCTGGGAAGTGGGTGCTAATATTAATTCCATTGTACAGATGAGGAAACTGACGTAAACAGAGGTCAAGTGATTGACCATGGTCATCCATTTAGTAGGTGTCTGAGGCAAGTTTCAAACTCAGGTCCTCCTGACTCCAAGTCTGGTGTTCTATCTACTGTGCCACATAGCCACCACTTTTCTTTTTCACAGAATCATCAATTCTATGCAGATCATATTTTGGTTACATCTTTCAGATAGTAAAAGTGCCTCTAATTAGTCAGTAGAATCCATTATCATCAATAAACACTTAAGGAATACCCTCTGCGTGACAGAGTGCTAGTCAGCTTCCCCAAAGAGGGATAGTCATACTAAATAAATTCTATGAAATATTTCCCATATGTGAATTAAGCAAAGCTGAAAAAGATAATGTATTCAAATATGGCAATATGAATACTCAAAATGTTTGTAAAAAGCAGTTAGTTATCCCTTCCACATCGTGGGGGTTGTTGTGGTTTTTATCCTTCATTCTCTCTCTCTCTTTTTTTTTTTTTTGCTTTTTAGGCAATTGGGGTTAAGTGACTTGCCCAGGGTCACACAGCTAGTAAGTGTCAAGTGTTTAGTCTGAGGCCGGATTTGAGCTCAGGTCCTCCTGACTTCAGGGCTGGTGCTCTCTCCACTGCGCCACCTAGCTGCCCCTCTCTCTTTTTTTTTTAAAGAAGCATTTGGGGTTAAGTGACTTACCCAGAGTCACACAGCTAATGAGTGTTATGTGTCTGAAGTTGCATTTGAACTCAGGTCCTCCTGACTCCAGGGCCAGTGCACTGCACCACCTAGCTGCCCCTTGTCCTTCATTCTCGAGGAAGACCATGACATTAGGAAGGTGATGCCATGACATGCAAGTGAATTGGATTTAAGCGAGGGTGGGCTGTGTAAAGTCACCAGCCTCACTTTCTCCTCCAGATTCATCTGGGCCCAGTGGCCATATATCGATCAAGACAACTGGACATGGTCAGCATGCAGTGGAAGACCTTGGCCTTTTTAAGCTAAGGTTTTTCAGAAACATTGTGGGAGTCAGAAGTGCACATCTCCTCTCCCCTAAATCTGGAAAATCTGCATAAAATTTTTTGGTCCTCCCTTTCATACCAGAAAGAAGTCTGAATTATTATGGTATTAAAAGATAAAATATGTTGATATTATGTAATACTATACACATATTTTATGTATTTCTGAGTTAAAAATTTTTTTTTTCTGTGCCATCTGCTGGCCTTCCCATGTAGTCTGTGGCTTCTGCAAAACTCCCCTCAAATTCCCATTTAATTTCTTTTTTTTAAAAACTTTTTTTGGGGGGGAGGGGCTAGGCAATGGGGTTAAGTGACTTGCCCAGGGTCACACAGCTACTAAGTATTATGTGTCTGGGGCCGGATTTGAACTCAGGTCCTCCTGACTGCAGGGCTGGTACTCTATCTACTGTGCCACCTAGCTGCCCCTCCCATTTAATTTCTCACGCTGACCCGTGATATATCAAAACTGCTGTGGGGAAAGTCATGATATAGAAGGCATAACTGTATAATATGCTTCTATAGAGCCTTAAACTTCCATGTTTTGCCATGGAGAACCCTTCTTCCAAGGCCTGGGTTTTTGTATTTAGATAGCAGAAAGCATCTAAAGGGATTCATGAAACTAGTAATGACCCAGGAAAAAAAAAATCCCATTGTCTGAAATGCTCGGATAATTGCTAAACCCTTGAAAGTAACGTGTGAACGTGTTTGTTCAAGGGAGAATTTCAGAAAATGCTTCTACACAGCCTTCCCCGTTGCTATGTCACATCTAGTTCACGCTTTATAATGGGTGGGGATGGTGTTTCACCATCTTGTTACAGATACTCAACTGTGGGAGAAAGGGAATTACCATAGATTTGTTTGAGGACAGTTTGCTTGTTTTGTTTGATGAGGGAGTTGCTCTTGCTGGTAGATTTGGGAGTTTTACAGGATGAGCCTGGCTTCAAGGTCTTGGGGTTCACCTGTTTCTTCCAGGCAACCTGGAAGAGAAAGGCAGCCCTCTCTTGTCTCCACTTGTCTTCATCTTCTTCACCCCGTCGCCGAGCGCTGCAAAGCTCGGACAGTTTCTTTCGTACCTGGTAACTAAGAAAAAGAAGAGTGCTTATTTGAGGTGAGCTAGGTTGGTCTGAATTCCATGAACCAGTTCATATGCAAGGTTGTCTGAGGAATTTGGGAAGCCACAGTGGCTGATAATTTAGTCGATGAAAAGTATTTGTTTAAAAAAAATTTAATTTCAGGTGTTTCCACCATCATCAGCTAATTTTGACTGAGCTTTGTCTGAATACACAAAACATACAGTACTGACTATATTAAAAACTAAGTTTTTTGTTGGCATAGTGTCTACTCCAACTAAATGTGCTCTGAAGAATCCAAACCAATTTGTAGATATAACATGTATTTGGAGGTTGGGAGATTTGTCTTTCTTCACTATAATTAAAAGCTTTTTATCAAGTGCATTCTATATGTAAAAGGTTTTTTTTTTAAACAGCAACATTTTTTTAAAAATTAATTAATTTATTTTCAGTTTTCAACAATCACTTCCATAAGCTTTTGAGTTTTAAAATTTCTTCCCCTCCCTCCTCCACAGCAACATTTTCATTGAGACAAAGGTAAGATTAATTCAACATCAACTTACTAATTTAAGAAATATTTATAAAATGTTTACTAATGGGCAAAACTTACTGGAAGAAGAATGATAAGAGATTTGAGTGAAGGACAGGAAATAAAATATTTCAATTAAATAAACATTTATTAAGCTCTTACTCTGTGCCAAACACTGTGTTAGGCTCTGGGGATACAAGAGTGAAGAAAGTAGTCCCTACCTTCAAGAAGCTTACATTTTATTTCAGGCATTAGTAAAGGGATAAAGTGAACTTAGAAAAAAATTACTCTACCTGGAGCGAAGGGCCAGAGAAACAATGTCTCTAGGATAAGGGAAGTGATAGTCTGTGAAGCCGGATATGTATGAAGACTGTGTTCTGGGTTACTTTGGCAAGTCACGATTTATAAAGGAGAAAATACAGTCTAGATCAGGGGTGGGGAAGCTGCGGCCTCGAGGCTATGTATGGCCCTCCAGGTCCTCGAGTGTGGCCCTTTGACTGAGTCCAAGTTTACAGAACTTGAACTCAGATCTCTTGATCTCCAGTCCAGTGCTCTTAATTTGACTTCAGGTACTGGTTGCATACCAGCCATGATACTAGGCCTATGTTATTGTTGAGTCATTTTTTCAGATGTGTCCAATTCTTTGTGACCCCATTTGGGGTTTTCTTGGCAAAGATACTGGAGTGGTTTGCCATGTCCTCCTCCAGCTCATTTTACAGATGAGGAAACTGAGACAAACAGGGTCAAGTGACTTGCCCAGGGTCACACAGCTAGAAAGTGTCTGAGGCCAGATTTGAACTCTCGAAGATGAGTCTTCCTGACTCCAGGCCTGGCTCTCTATCCACTGGACCACCTAGCTGCCCTAGCTCTATAGCAACTTATTAAGAAAAAGCTACCTGTGGTTGGTACTCGTACATAATATCAAACTGGAGACCATCCCAGCATGTCATTATCTTTTTTCTCATAGTCTTAAGATGGAAAAAAAAAGACAAACAAAGATAGTGAAGAAACAAACATAGTGAAGAAAGAGCTATGAAAGTTTTTTCCCATCCCCAAATATGAATTCAATAAGTGCAACTGAGCAACTCTCTAAGATTCTAAGTTTTAGATCAGGTGGCAACCTGCATCGGTAGATGCATTTCCTCCTCAGGAATGGCCCATACTAGTGAAATCACAGGTCTGGTTCAAGAAGTATAATCAGAGTTTTTCAATCATGAGTCTCTGATTCTGCATTCAGAAACTGAGGGCTGTTTTATAGCAGTTTTCAGACTGTGCTCCAGTCAACAGCATTACTGGCTTTCAAAGGGTTATACTGTTTGCAATAAGATGGCTTACAGGAATCCTGTTGAATTACTCCTCTAGGTGATACTATGGACCCAGTGTTCTTAGAAGACATTGTGTGCCAGTTAGTGGATAATGGAAACTTACAGATAGAACTCGTCAGAACCTACCCCTTTGAATGGTAAAGAACAGATATTATCTCTCTCCTCATTTCAGTCAGTGAACATCTGTCTTTTTTTTTTTTAGGCAATTGGGGTTAAGTGACTTGCCCAGGGTCACACAGCCAGTAAGTGTCAACTGTTTAGTCTGAGGCAAGATTTGAACTCAGGTCCTCCTGAATCCAGGGCCTATGCTCTATTCACTGCGCCACCTAGTTGCCCCAGAGACCACCTTTTTCTTATTTGTATCCCCTGCACTTAGCACACTATCTCATACATAGTAGGCACCTGATAAATGTTTATGGAATTGAATTGTCATTATACTAACATTACAGGTGGAGAAATTGAGCCACAGAAAACTGAAATGATTAGGTCAAAGTCATACAGCTAATAAGTGGTAGAAAAGACACTGGGTCTTCTGACTCCAAGTTTGGTCCTCTTGCCACTGCAGCATATCATAGCTGCCCCAAATCTAATGTGAATGGTTGACAGTAGTGATACGTCCAGCATCGTGAATGACAACTCACTTCCTGATTCCCCCAGGCAAAAAAGGGTCCATATATGGTACACCCTTACTGAGCAATATGGTTGCTGCTTTTTGTCCTTCCTTCTTGAAGAAGACCAGTGCCATTATAAGGGTGACGTCTTGACTTGTGTATAAATTGGATTTAAACGAGGCAGAGCTGGGCAAAGTCATCAGCCTCACTTTCTATTCCAGAGACATCGAATTCCAGTGGTAGGACAAAAAGTCAAGATGACTGGCAATGCCCCAGGATGCAGTGCATGACCTTGGCCTTTCTAAATTAAGGTCTTTCCCAGGTCCCAGGATGTCTGAGGCCACATCCGTTCAGTGACTAAGGGCTAGGTCAAACAATATGGCACACTGTTACTGGATAGAAAATACGTCCCCCTGTTGTAACTTGGTAATGCTGTAGGGAAAAAGCTAATTAGTGCATTTAAGATATCAAGTTTATATGTTCCCAAAGAACTGTTAAAAAAATCATTTTATCAAGAATCACCTTACCTTCTCCATGCCCTCTGAATCACAGCAGCAGCATGGTTCTTTTTCCGGAACAACTCTTTCCTTGTTCTTTCTTTTTCAATGATCATCAGCCGGCTCTCCAATGGGAGAAGTTCAATATTCAAATTCTGCCCCACTGGGGAGGACAAATGATCACCTGCATTTGCTGTTTTTGTCTTCACCAAGCTCAGCCTGTCACCAGGTGTGGGGTACGTCCCTACGTTATTGGGCCCAGGTCTTGTCAATCCTGTTTTACTTGGTAGCCCACAGCAGACTCTTGCTACGACCTCGTTATCTGCCCCTTTGCTTCTTTGTCCCCGATTACATGAAGCCTCGTTCCCTGGGTGGGTGGGTTCCACTTTGGCGCTTCCAGGTCTGCTAGAACCAGCTGGAGAGCACCTCTCCCCTTTTAGCTCTTTACTTCGTCTTTTCATCGAGTGCACTTTGGTCCTTGAACCTGTTTCATGGTGCTTGCGTTGTCTCAAGTTTCCAACTGGGCAGTTAGAATCCGGCAAGCGTATTGCTGCTGCTCTGTCCAAGGGCTCGCCACTACAAGCCACTGTCCGCCTCTGATCTTCTAACTCCTCTCCAGCTCCACTTGCTTTACTAGAAGAGGCATGCCTTGGGACACCCCTTCCTCTGAGGGATGGCAATTCTCCACTTTTCTCACCTTCTGACTTAGAAATGGCCACCTGAGGTTTGCGTTCATTATCCCTTTCACTGGTGCCAAAGTGGACAGAAGGAACTTTGCCTTTGGAATGCTCTCTGGTTGGTTCTTAAAGGAGACAGGAAAAGCAGATATTTATCAGCACTAAAATTACAAGGAACAGCTTATTTTGACACTTTATTTTTCTTTCTTTTTTTTTTGGTGAGGCAATTGGGGTTAAGTGACTTGCCCAGGGTCACACAGCTAGTGTCAAATGTCTGAGGCTGGATTTGAACTCAGGTCCTTTTGACTCCAAGGCCGGAGCTCTATCCATTGTGCCACCTAGCTGCCCCAACACTTTATTTTTCATACAATTGGTCCAGAAAATACTCTATAGCAGAAGTCCCAACCTTTTATGTTCACTGTATCCCCTTGCCTTTCAGCAAACCTTCCTTTACACTCTATTCAATATGAAAAGAAATAAATTCTGGAGTTTACCCTATGTGAGAAATTAATAAAAATCAATTTAATAATAATATTTAATATGAAATTAAATAGATTAAAGTTTCATAAAGAAAACCTTCATTGGTACATAACCACATTTTTTAGGACCAGAGAGTCTGTTTATTATTAACCCAAAGTTTATTGTTAAGAGCAGCTAGGAAATACAGTGGATAGGGCATGGGGGCCTGGATCCGGGAAGACCTGAGTTAAAATCTGGCCCCAGATACTTACTAGCTGTGTGACTCTGGGCAAGCCACTTAACCCTTGTTTGCTTCAGTTTCCTCAACTGTAAAATGGGGATAAAAATAGCACTAACCTAGGGTTATATGAGATATAAAATGCTCACCATGATGCCCGGTACATAGTAAATGCTATACAAACATTAGCTCTTATTATTTGTAGTAGTCGTGGTATAGTTTTTGAAATAGTAGCAGATCCAATCTGTTGCTTTGGATTTGATCAAGAACAGATTGAGAATTCTAATTCATCTTGTTGTTATAGATGGAAAGAACGCCTTGTGAGCACATCTAAGAATAGGATATACTTCCCCCAAATTTTGTAACTTCATCGACTGGAAATCAATTCAGAGTTTCCAGTTATTGTGGAGATAATTTAGCTTGTTTTTCATTGGACTGTTGCCACTGATTTTTTTTTTAATTCTCTTAATACAAAAAGGGTTTCATATGTAACCTCATTCCTTGGGTTTTGGTCAGTAGCAATTATTCCTTTAATCGTCTCTCTCAAATATTTCAGATGCATAACACTTCTTTTCCTACTCCATATTACCTTCTCGCTGTTCTCTCTCTAATCCTCAATATTTTTCACTGACCCTACTACTTTTAGAATATTTCAATAGAATAATGTAGTATTTTTACCAAATATTCCCCATGTCCTCTTGACATGCTTCCCTTACCTGCTGGAGGCATGCCTACCCCAAGGTTGGGAAACCCTTGTTCTCCAGCATCACAGTGATGCTGATGATAGTAATAATGATGGGGGATGGACAGAGAGGCAATAATGCTTCTTATGTTGAGCTTCTAAAGACTGTTCTCTGGCAGGTACTTTGTCTTTGTTAAAACAAGGGTTAGGCCCACAGGGGTGGCAGCCTCAAGGCCAGATGTGGCCTTCTAGGTCTTTGGGTGCAGCCTTTTGACTGAGTCCAAGTTTTACAGAACAAATCCCCTTAATAAAAGGATTTGTTCTGTGAAGTTTGGATTCAGACAAAGGGCTGCACTTGAGGACCTAGGGGGCCATATGTGACCTTGAGGCCTCAGGTTTCCTCACCCCCGGGTTAGGTCATGGCTCAATCACATGAAATAATGAAGCTTAGAGTTCAGAAACGTAAATAGATTTGAAAAATCTTGCAGCCGATAACACTTTCATCATTCCACAAAAACAGCACTGGTCCTAACTACATTTTCCAATGTTCCTCTTTTACAGTCCTTTCCAGTTCTAAAATCCTATGCTCCTTCCCTTTCTAGCCATTGAGATCCTACATCCTTTCATTGGGTTGCCCTCATCATTGATAGTTTCAATGGAAAGAGCACCAAGTCAGGCATCTGATGATCCAGGTCATAGTTCTAGCTTTGTCTTAGTCTCACTGTGTTATCTTGGGCAAATTCTTTGCTCTCCTACAGTGCCTCAGCTTCCTCATATTTAAAATGGGGATGGTGAACCCTGTGTAGAAGAATATAAGACTCAACAACCATAAAAGACAAGGAAACTTCAGACAAAAGTTGTTATGCCGATGAGGACTGTGAGGCATTGTAGGGTACTGGAACGGGAGTCGGGTGACCTGGTTTCAGATCCCAGCTCTGCTGCTTCCTGTGAGATCTTGACCAACACACTTTTCCACTCAAGCTTAGATTTTCTCATCTGTGAAATGGGGTGGGTTTGGACTAAGGTCCTTTCTAGCTCTACATTTATGATTCTAGGATCTTTAAGGTCTCATCCAATGTTAACATTGTCTGACCTGAGAAGGTGAAATCTGTGGCTATGTAATAGAATATTTTGGGCAAAGCTTGTTAGCTTTTGGCAATCATTACTTTTTATTGAGGTTTGGAAACTTGGCATTAGAGGTATTTGTTTCCCACTTGGTTACTGCTGGGGTAAGCAATATCCAAGAAAGTGGTGGTTCTTGGGTTATGGAAATCTGGTCCAAATAGTCAGGTTGTAGCTGCAGGTGTGATTAACTGAATTAACCTCATAGCTGGCTTTGCTTATCTATGCATTTTTATTAAAGGGAATAGGGAGAAGGAGTGAAATAGACATGACTGTGATATTAAGGAAAAGTAAAAGAAACCCATAGAGAAAACCTTGTCAGTACCATGTTAGCTAAAAGAGAGATCAATCCAGCTTCCAGGCAGTATGGTTTAGTGGAAAGAAACAAAGAAGCTGGGCTCAAATCCTTTCTTTGACAATTTCTACCTCTGTGACCCTGAGTAAGTCACTTAACCTCCTCTGGCCTCAGTTTCTTTATCTGTAAAATGAGATGGTTGAATCAGATAACTTCTTATTTCCTTTACAACTTTAGAGATGTATTTCTGATATCTACTGTTTCATTAGTGTGAGTTAGAACGTACCTTTTTGTCTCCGGTGATTTTCTCCCTGCTTTTCTGTAGAAGGAAACTGCTCTTTTCTGTATGCCATGTCCGGGGACACTCCTGGAGACCCTCTGTTTTTTCCCATTCGGCTTGGAGAGGCACTGATGGAGAATGGTTGTTTGCCAGGAATAGTTGTGGGTTTGCTGGGCGGCTGTGGAGGCCTGGTGGCTGGGGTTCGCTTCTCTGGAAGCTGCTGTGCTTGCGCTCGGCTTTTCACGTGGCTCAGTGTTTCTTTTTGGTGTTCTCCTTCTTTCCTCTTGCTTTCTTCTTCACGTTTTCTAGAATCAAAGCCAATGCTTTTAGTAACAAGACCGAATGTCCAGGGCATCCCAAAGTAGTCGGATAGTCTTAGTATTCCCTAGCTAGCTCAAATTGAGTCATAGCTTTCAAGTTACAAAGCACTGAGTTACGTATGTATTCATTGATCACTGGAAGTGAAGCTGATTTTACATGCTACCAATTGCTTAGCAGGGCCTGCTTGGCTACTCAACAGTCCTTCTACCTAACCATTATTGAATCCCTGTTTTATTCTCCCCAGGGACTGATCCAAACCTTTTTCTCTCTCTTCAAGCCCTCATTTGTCTGAGGTAGTCATTAAAGACGGGTTATTTATATGGTTAACCAAATGCCCTAAATTATGTATGCCATTTTTTTTTATTCATTGCAAAAGTTATGTAGTTTCTATTCTTTTATTTTTAAAATTTATTTATTTTTAGTTTTCAACTTTCACTTCCATAAGATTTTGAGTTCCAAATTTTCTCCCCATTTCTCCCCACCCCGCATCCCAAGATGGCTTGCAATTTGATATAGGCTCTACATATACATTCATATTGAGCCTATTTTCACCTTAGTCATGTTGTAAAGAAGAATTAGAACTAATGAGAGAAACCATGAGAAAGAAGAAACAAACAAAAAAAAAGAGAGAGAGAGTGCAAATAATATGCTTCGATCTGCACTCAGACTCCGTAGTTCTTTTTCTGGATGTGGACAGCATCTTCCATCAGGAGTCCTTTGGAGTTGTTTTGGATCCTTGCATTGCTGAGAAGGGATAAGTCTATCAAAGTTAGTCATCGAACATTGTGGCTGTTACTGTGTATAATATTCTCCTGGTTCTGCTCACTTCATTCTGTATCAGTTCATATAAATCTTTCCAGGTTTTTCTGATGCAGCTTCTATTCTTTTTTTTTTTTTTTTTGCTTTTTGGTGAGGCAATTGGGGTTAAGTGACTTGCTCAGGGTCACACAGCTAGTAAGTGTTACATGTCTGAGACCAGATTTGAACTCAGGTCTTCCTGACTCCAAAGCCATGCAGCTTCTATCCTTAAAGAATAAAAAGATTTGTTCCTGTTGTACTGGGGAAAAAATGTAACCTTGCCCTCTATGCCAAGGGCTTCCTACATCATTGAGAAGGTTAAAGTTATCTCAAGTCAAGTCAATAAGCATTTCTTAAGAGTTGGGCACAACTGGGGATTAAAAAAAAAAAAAGCAAAAACTTAGTCCCTGTTCTCAGAGAGCATACATTCTAATGGGGGAGACGATGTGTAAAGAGCTAAGCATATACACAATACGTAAACAGTGCATGGAAGTTAATCTCAAGGGGAAGGCAGTAGTAGCTTGGAGGACCAGGAAAGGCCTCCTGCAGAATCCGAATTTGAGCTGACTCTTCCATTCATAACTTTTTTTTTTTTTTGGTGAGGCGATCAGGCTTAAGTGACTTGCCCAGGGTCACACAGCTAGTAAGTGTCAAGTGTCTGATATTCATGACTTCTTAGCATCACCCACTCTGTCATCCTTTCTTTCACAGAAGAAGAGGCATCCCTACTTCTCACTAAGGCCAATCTACTTAGACCTTTGATCTTATTCTCTATGTTTCTCTCTCTTGTGCATCTTCAATCTCTCATTCTTCCATCTTCCTATGAAATGCTCAGCTCTCTCCAAGCCCTAAACAAATCTTTCCTTTAATCACTGCACCTCCATCCAGCTACTCTCCTGTTTCTCTCTACTTCACCACTAAATTTCTTTAAAAAGCTGTCATGTACTGATGCTACTCCTTCCTTCCTACCACCTCACCTCCTTGGAGTCTCTCTTCTCATCTCCCCCTTTAACAAACTGCTCTCTTAAAGGTCACCAATACCTTGCTAGTCACCACGTTGACAAATGAACACTTTTCTCAGTGCTTTTGACCTTTCTGAAACATTTGACAGCTGTTGACCACCTCTCCATCTGTATGCTTACACCTCGCTTGATTTTAGAGACAGCACACACTCCTAAGCTGTTGTCTACCCTTTTGCTGAAACGCTTTTGGTGGATGTTTCCCTAAGGCTCTAGCCTTGGCCCTCTGCTCTTTTTTCTATCTTTATACTTCCTCCCTTGCCATGTCATTTCCAGTCATGACTTCAACTACCTCTATTCAGGAGATTCCTAAATCTCTGTCTCCAGCCTCTTCTTAGCTCTTGAAACTTATCTTCAATCACAAGAAATTTCAAGCTGCATATCTCACTAGCAACTCAAACTCAATGTGTTAGAAAAGTGACTTTCTTATCTTTCTCCCTAAACCTACTCCTCCTTTTGACTTTAGAATGCTGTCTGTAGTATCAATATTTACTTAATCTCTCATGTTCAAAACCTTGGAGTTGTATTTGATTCTCCCTTTCCCTCACTATTCACATCTAAGCAATATACACTATCCTGTGGTATATATGTCTTTGGGACATCTCTTGAATCTGTATTAATCTCCTCCCTATTTCTACAACCACAGACTTTAGTACGGGTTCTCATTATCTCTTGCCTTGATTTTTGTAGATGCCTTCTAAGCAGGGCTTAACTGTTTCCCTTCTTTCCCCACTTCAATCCATCCCTTTTGTTGCTACCAGAATAATCTTCCTTATGCCTAGATTTACTTATATGACTTATATTGGCTCCCTATTGTCTACTGAGTAAAATCTGTCATAGCAATTCTCTAATCAGTTGGTCGGTCAGAGAGCATTTATCAAGTGCCAGGCACTGAGGATACAAAGAAAGACAAAAAACAGTCTCTACCCTTAAGATGCTCCCAGGCTAATAGGAGAGATAGTATGTAAAAAACAATGTACAAATAAGACATATACAGGATAAATTGGAAATGAAGGCACTAAGATTAAGGAGGACTAGAAAAGTCATCTTAAAGGTGGGACTTTGGCTGAGACTTGAAGAAAGCCACGAGGCAGAAATGAGGAGGGGGAGAGTTCTAAGTATGAAAATAGTCAAGGAACATGCTTGGAGCTGGCCACAAGATGTACTGTAAAGAATGACCAAAAAATGAGGATTTTACTTCTAGCATGTATGAAAAGAAGGATGAATTTTTACAGTGATGTTTAGAAAGCCCACAATGTTTTTTTTTTTTCTTCATGATCCCATTTGGGATTTTCTTGGCAAACAAACTGGAATGGTTTGTCATTTCATTCTCAGCTCATTTTACAAATAAAGAATTGAGACAAACAGGGTTAAGTGACGTGGCTGGGTCACACAGCTAGAAGTGTGTGAGGTCAGATTTGAACTTATGAAGAGTCTTCCTGTTTCCAACCCCAGTGCTCTGTCCATGTAGGTGCTCTCAAGGGACTGTTATCTATGCTCAAAGTGTAGACTGATTTACCTGCTAGCAGATAAGATAAATGGACTCTTGGGACTCTACTCTCCAGGTTATCAGAGAGAATGAAGTGTTCCTTAAAACAAAGAGAAGGGCTTCAAAGTAAAAATGAAAAAGAATCTGCTGAGGCAGAGGGGAATCCTAATGTGTTGTCAGGAGGTGAGCAGGCAGAAGAATGTGTCATGGAAAAGGAAGAGAAAAATGAGAAGCACTGAATGCTCAGAATCAAGTAACCCATATAAGGTCCTTCCCAAGAGCAGCAGGTAGCAGGTACATAGAGCTCTGGACTTGGAATCAAGAAACTAGAGTTCAAATCATGTCTGTAAAATGTAAGATGGAATTAAAATAACTGTAGATAATATAAAATATTTGGGAGTCTACCTGCCAAGGCAAACCCAGTAACTATATGAAGACAATTACAAAACACTTTTCACACAAATGAAGTCATATCTAAATAACTGGAAAAATATCAGTTGCTCAGGTGTAGGTCAAACTAATATAATAAAAATGGCAATTCTACCTAAATTAATTCACGTATTCAAGGTCATACCAATTAAACTACCAAAAATTATTTTATAGAGCTAGAAAAAATAATAACAAAATTCATCTGGAAGAACAAAAGCTCAAGAATATCAAAGGAATTAATGAAAAGAAATGCAAGGGAAGGTAGTCAAACTGTACCAGATCTAAAATTGTATTAATAAACAACAATCTTCAAAACTATTTGGTGCTGGCTAAGAAACAGAGTGGTGGATCAGTGGAACAGGTTAGGTATATAAGACACGGTAGTCAATGACTGTAGTGATCTATTGTTTGATAAACTCAAAGACTCCAGCTTCTGGGATAAGAACTCACTATTTGACAAAAACTGCTGGGAAAACTGGAAAATAGTATGGCAGAAACTAAGCACAGACCAACATCTTACACCATATACCAAGATAAGGTCAAAATGGATATGTGATTTAGACATGAAGGTTGGCACCATAAGCAAATTAGGAAAGCAAGGAATGGTTTACCTGTCAGATCTATGGAAAAGGGAAGAATTTATGACTAAACAAGAGACAGAGAACATTATGAAATGCAAAATGGATAATTTTGATTACATTAAATTGAGAAGGTTTTGCACAAACAAAGCCAACGCAAGCAAGATTAGAAGGGAAGCAGAAAGCTGGGCAGCCAGCTTCTCTGATAAAGGCCTCATTTCCAAAATATATAGAAAACTAAGTCAAATTTATAAGAATGTAAGTCATTCCCCAATTGACAAATGGTCAAAGGATATGAACACGCAGTTTTCAGATGAAGAAATCAAAGCTATCTATAGACATAAGAAAAAAAATGTCCCAAATCACTATTGATTAGAGAAATGCAAATTAAAACAACTCTGAGGTACCACTTCACACCTATCAGATTAGCTAATATGACAAAACAGGAAAATGGTAAATGCTGGAGAAGATGAGCAAAAATTGGAACACTAATGCATTGTGGGTGGAGTTGTGAACTGATCCAACCATTCTGGAGAGCAATTTGGAACTATTCCCAAAGGGCAACCAAACTGCGTTATACCCCTTTGATTCAGCAATAGCACTACTAGGTGTGTATCCTAAAGAGATCATAAAAAAGGGAAAAGGACCCACATGCACAAAAATATTTATAG